AGCTATGTATTTAATTTTTTTACTAAACAATCTTAACACCTTCAAAGTACTCTCCATTACACTTAATACATTTGTCAAATCTGCAATTCCATTCTTGGAAACATTTTTCATGCTTGGAAGGCTGGCATCACTTCTCTTATTTCTTCTTCACCTCTTCTAAGTTGTCATCAAATCACTGTACTTTCATGTCCCTCTTCATTCACAGAAACAAAAAGTCTCACAGTGTCAGGTCAGCTGAGTCAGGTGCATGGCGCAAGAGAAGCATGTTGTTTTTGCCAAAAACTGGCGCACTGAGATGGCTGTGTGAACAGGTGCCTTGTCATGGTGGCAAAACCAATCCCCCATCTGCCAAAAATGAGGCCTTTTTTGTCACAAATCATTACACAATCTTTTCGGAACCTCTAAATAGAAATCTTGATTAACAGTCTGCCCAGGTGGAAGGAACTCTAAATGCACTATCCCCCTCACGTCAAAAAAACAAATGAGCATCGTCTTGATCTTTGATTTCACTTGACGAGCTTTTTTGGGTGAGATAACAATGGCGTCTTCCACTGGCTTGATTGATGTTTGCTTTCAGGGTTGTAGAGAATAGCACCATGCCTCCTCACTAGTAATGACCTTGGGGAAAATGTTTAGGTCACTTCTAAGCTGTTCTTTCAAAGTCCAGCATGTTTCCAACTTGATGCTCTTTTTCCTGGTCAGTCAGAACCCGAAGCACAAATTTCACAGGGACCCTTTTTATTCCCAAATATTTTATTAAAATTTGCTGAACCAAGCTTCAAGATAGTCCATATAACTTCCCCATCTCTTCAATAATCCATCTTCAGTCTTCAAGCACAAGTGCAAGAATTTTGTCGACATTTTTGTCCATTCAGGAAATTGATGGACATTCAGAATGAGGTTTGTCATCAATCAACATTTTAACTTTCTTGAAACAAGAAAACCGCCTGTAGACTTGAGGTTTTCCCATAGCGCTGTCCTTTTAAGTTGAACATAACAACAGTTTCTGTGGCATTTTTCCTGAGCAGGAAACAAAATTTCACAGCTATAAGCTGGTCTCTTAAATCAGCCATCACAAAAAAATGAGGTTCGAGCACAGCTGCTTTTACAAAAAACTTGACAGTGAGCAGACAGAATTTTCCCCGGTGACACCCTTGGGTGCACTAACTCAGAGAGTTGCTCAACTGCTCACTACTGGGGAAAAAATGTACCATGAAAGCTCCGCCCAGTGGAGCCTTTTCCATTTGTTCCGTTTTTTATACCCCCTCGTACTTTGGACATGTTACCAGGAGAGACCATCCCTGGAGAAGGCTCTCATACTTGGTAAAGTGGAGGGGCAGTTAAAGAGAGGAAGACCCTTGACAAGATGGATTTTAACCCAGTGGCTGCAACAATGGGCTCAAATATAACAACAAGTGTGAGGATTGGGCAGGACCAGGCAGTGTTTCTTTCTCTTGTACGTAGAATTACTATGAGTCTGAACCAACTCGATTGCACTTAATTTGTTGAAAGGAAAAGGATGCAGGGGCACCTGTATATTAAAAGAGAGAAAAATAAGTAAATACAAAGATATAAAAGACTCATAACTTTTTTTAATGCACAAGACTAAAACTGATATCTAGAGATACAACCGTGGTAAGTGAAACTAGAAGTAACAGCAAGGAAGTGATTCCTATAAGGGGCAGGACAGGGACAATTTTGGGGTGGCTGTGGAGACTGAGATGGGGTCAGAGTGCCTAGAGGCACCCCTAAGGTGGCAGGCAGAGTTCTGTGTCTTGGTCTGGTGGTGATTGCAGAGGTGTTTTCCTGAAAACAATCCATTAGGCCATAGAGATTTGTAAGCGTGTACATTTTTTGGTGTGTGCCTATCATTTTACAATGAAAAAGTAAATAAATTAAGAATGAGGAGGTTTATAATTTCAACAAGAAAGAAAACACACAAGCGAATTATACAATGAAGGAAATATAGTCATACTACATAACGTGGCCCATGGTAAAAATAAAAACAAAACAAAACTTAATAAGGCAATCCCTGAGTACTGACGAGTAAAGACTTGTACTTCAGCTAAACAGAGAGGATGCAGGGAATGTAACTGTAGGCATGGGTTAGCTGAAGAGATCCAAACTTCACTGACCTTTCTTTGAGATCAGTATATAATTTCTTACATTGCTAAAGAAAAAAGAAATAGTAGTTTAAGAAAACTTATGAACATGGCAGTTTATACAGTAAGAAATACCTAAAGAACTGAAAATGTACTGTAAATTCTTAAGGGAGTAGAAAGCCTTCTCTTTCTCCAACAGAGCAACAGTGGCTTTGACCCGCTGGTCTTTCTGTTAGCAGACCAGCCTGTAATCTGCTATGCCACCATAGATTAGCTCTGTCTTATTTCATTCGCCATGATGTCGGGGTCCCTGGGTGGTACAAATGGTTAAGCTCTCACTAGGAACTGAAAGATTGGTGTTTTGAATTTATCCGATAAATTACTTAAATTTCTCAATCTGGAACTCTCTGTGTGTTACTTTATCTCTCGGTGAAGTGATAATAATAATGCCT